GTGCGGACCATTTTCATTTATATAGTGCTCTAGTAAACACAAATTAGTTAGCATAAATCATTTAAATGACGAAAAATTAGGTGTCTATTTACTTGTGACCACTCAGTGTATACAAAGCAGATAAAACTTTTAAAATATACCTTAATACGTTTTTACACTAATTTGAAAAAGAACTCCATGGGTTATCTTGCACTTTGATTTTGAAAATTACAAATTTGAGAAATTACAAAGAGAAACGTGTAGATTTTTAATGTTTAGTAATAATACTAACACATGAAATAGGTTGAATCGTATAACTTTTTACTACACCGATAACACGTTACATCATCTTAGCATTATATAGTGATATAAGCCAGTAAAAGTTAATTGTTTTAAAATAATAAAAATATTTGTTTGTTTGTGTGTAGTTAAGCATAAAGTTATAGAATGGGCTATCTGTGTTCTACCCACCACTGGTATCGAAACCCGGTTTCTAGCAAGAAGAAAAATAAAATAACCCTAATCCTTTTTTCACCAGAGTTTACACTTTCTTAAAACTCTGTTATTTAACGGAAATGCTTCATTCTTAATCGTTCATCGGGTTTTAGTGAACGACCCCTCACATTGAATATGGTAAGTGAGATGGTATTCTGTTATAGTTCCTAAACTTCATTATAACATGTAGCTAGTGTTACTATTATAGTTATACATACTCGTGGGACTGAAACAGATACAAAAGCTGTTGCTGTGAAAATTCAGTATACTGTGTAAGTAATGCTCAGGAAAGTGATGATGTTATTAATAATTATAACATTGATGATATACGTACTGGATTTATACAGACAAACGCAGACAACAATTTGTGAAAACTGGCATTCTCATTTCAACTTTAAAGTTGAATGGAGCCAAAGGCTAAAGCGTTAGTCGTAGTATAAAGTTTATTTACTGCCATTGTCAAACAGTTTAATCCTGGTTAACATAGTTAATAACAAACAAAAAAGCGCTTAGTCTAGTTTACTCACTTTAGTAAAAGTTTGAGAAAAAAAAAGTTGCATAGCCCTAGAAGTAGAATTCGTACACACTGTCAACATGAGGGCTGAGGAAAGCGTTCGAACTTGTATTTGTAATCAACTTCTGTTATTTCTAATATTTATATTGATGATAAATTATATGCTAAAAGTAAAAGTTGTATTTGTATGAAAAGAAAAACCATTATATCTTTCTTCCAATCCCAGTATAACAAAACTTGAAATATATAAATCGTTTTAAAAGTAAAAGATCAAGAAGTTGCTTTAAAGTTGGAAACCAATTTTTAGTTATCTTTTTTTTAAGGAGGGGGGGAGGATTTCGTATTAAGAATTAAGCTTTGAATTTAATATAAACCTCACTTAGTTTTTGTGGTACATGTTTAGGCTAATGATATAAGGAAAGATGAATCTGAGGAGCTTAATGATAAGTATAAAACATTGATAAGGGCATTTATTTTAAGGAAAGGGGTCTTGGTTTGATTTTTTCGGGGATATTGCCAAGAATAAATTGTAGAGATGAGATACTAAGTAGGTCACTAGGATTGATTACCAGGCTTAAATCAATATGTAGGGATGAAGAAATAGGCTGGTTGGATTTGTGGTATAATTTTATCTGGAAAGTTAATGTTTTTGGAATGGATGGCTTACACTTAAACAAGGCAGGTTGCATTATCTTATTGTTAGCAAGGGCTATTAACTCAGCTGTAGTGGTTGATTTAAACTAGGGCTAGACAGAGGTGAGAGCCATGATAATAATAAAACAGGAAATATAATTGACAGGAAAATGTACAACAGGCATAAAACATGAACATATTTTAAAATCTATGATTAATTGTTACTATTGTAATGGTAGGATAATTAGATTTAGAAATAAGATTGATGAGCTCAAAGTAGTTGTGGAAACTAAGGATTTTGATATTATAGGTATCATTGAGACTTGGTTGAATTTGAGCAATTTTGATGAGAGATTATTTACTAGAGACAGAGTATTGAAAAAGGGGGAGGAGTAGGTTTGTATGTGACAAGTGAATTGCATCCTGTTGAGTTAGAGCATGTTAAAGAAATAACACTGAGGTTGAGTCACTTTAAGAAAATAATATTTTGGGACAACATGGGACTTGTTGGTCCATCTCTGCTGTTTCAACCTC